TTGGCCCTAATTAGTCACATGTTCACACATCACCCCACTGAAGAGTTGCAAGGACCTATTAAATCCTAAACAACAATGTGGGGGAGAAGGTCACTTCATGTTTTCTAACAGTACTCAGCTGTATTGAAAGGACCTAATGATATTACAGGAGCAACATGAGGTAGGCTTGTAGAAAGAAAATTTATCAGATTTGTTTAAAATTTTTCAATATAAGCAATGAACTTTCAACAGCAACACCCATAGCATGACCAATTATTGACATAATTTAGGAGCCAATTCTTGATCCTATTTTTTCTTAAAGATTTTATTATTTACTTTTGTGTAAAGAGCTGGAGTGTAGGCCAGAGGTACAGTGGATGAGAAGATTCACCAGAGACAGAGCGGGGAACAGAACAGGCAGACTGACAAAATACACTGCTGAGGGGAGCAGCAGGTGAGACAGGAGAGTCTGCTGCGCCATGTGGGATTCTTGCCGGCTGGCCGGGATTGAACCCACACTGCAGAGGCTGCAGACAGCTTCACAGTGTGGCACTCAATCGCCTGTGCCACCAGGGGAGGCCCCAGAAATATGTTTTTAAAAAAAAATCTTTCCTTCTTCCTCTTGCTACTGGAATTCAGTTGTGATGGCTAGAGCTCTGACAGCCATGTTGGATCAGAAGTAACAGAACAAGAAGTTGAAATTAACCTGCTTACCTAATGATTCAATGGAACCACCTCAGTATAAATAATGGACTCAATATCTGGAGGCTCTTGGGACAATTCATTTCCTTGCTCATAAAGGTTATTAACTCAGTTTAAGCCTTTGTAGGTATAGGGCTGAGGTCCCCTCTTTCCTTGCTAGCTTGCAGCTGAGACCTATTCCAGGCTTCTAGGTGGTGCCCATATTCCTGGGCTCCTGGGTCCTTCTCCATCTTCAAACAAGCAATAGTGAATCAAGACTTTTCATGCTTCATCGCTCTCTACCTCTTCTTCCACCTCACATATGTCCATACCATCCTTCTGTCTCCCTCTTCTAACTTTAGCAAGCATGTTATTACCTTGGGCCTTCCCCAGGGATCCAGGATAATCTCCTTGTCTTACTGCTTTTAATTTTAATTCCATCAGTAAAGTTCCTTTGCCTATGTTGTAACACACTGACAAGTTCCTGGGACTAGAGTGTGAACATCTTTGGGGGCCATTATTCTATCTGCCGCAGTTGAAGAATATGAAATTCCCTTGGCACCTTCATTCTCTTGTTAATTTTAGGTCTTGTTCCACTGTCCTCCTCCAGTTTTCCCTGGATGTTTGTTCTCCTTTATAGCCTTTACACAGGCAGAAGTCATAATCTCCTCTACTTTTCAGGAATAGTGCAGTGACTTTGCCTAATCACCTACACATCTTGGGGGTGATGCATCAACTCTAAAAAAACAATTAGCCGATGTTTAAGGGGCCAGGTTGCACATAAAATTTGGTGACCACTGTGACTTTCCCAGGAGGAATGGAGTGGGCATCAGGACTATCATTTAGGGTCTATCTCTAACTTTTCTCTAAATCACAACCTGGAGCAGCTCTGAAAAATTACTTAGGAGTCTATTGAGTGGCATGCAAAGGGCATGATCCTGATAGAGTCATTCAGGTTAGATGTGAAGACAGGATTAGATAATGGGTGTCTCATACCCAAAGCAGGAATTTCAGGAAGAAACAAGAGGGAACAAGTGTTATTCAAAGAAAATTTGAAGATGGGAGTTCTGATCACTAAAGATGCTTTCTTGGCTGCAAGTAACATTCAAATATTGGGGGTGGAGCTGGGGGAGGTGACTTGATTGGCATAGTTCTCATTGGAGATATATAGTGACTTGATCTTTGTGCTTTGTCCTGTGTGCACTTTGCGGGAGCGAGACTCTGGGCATGAGGTCATTGGAATACAAGTTCCAGGAAGACAGAACCTCATCTGTCCTTTTCTTTTTGCCTCCAGCATTCAGAGTGCTGTTTTGCACTGAGTACTAGCAAATACATACTTGCATGAATAAACAACTAAATACAATATCGAGTGAGTAAGTGGTGGACACCAAGTCCTTCTTAGTCTTTTTCCCATGGGGCAGTGTGGTCTTCCCATAGCAGATTATGCTGTGGGAAAGGATTATTCTGTGAGGTCACACATGAACCCAGGTCCCCCACTGCCATTTATCCTGCCAGTGTGTTTCCTGGAACTGACCTGAGTTTATTTCCTGTCTATTGCATGTCACCAATAATCACTCCTTGACTTAGGTTTCATTGCAATAACAGATATAAGTGCTTAACGCAATTCTCAGTAGTCAGTGAATGTTAGCTCTTCATGTGCCAAAGGGACCTCCCCTTGATCATCAAACTTAATTTCCCACCCACACGCCTTTGCTTTGCCAGTTACCATGTCCCTCCAGCATTTATGCACATGTAATAGTGTAGGCACACATGCATGCATACACGTTGGTATCAGAGGTCAAAAGCAATTTAAACGCCATCTACTCCATGAGGCCAACTCTTATGTCCCTGCTTGGAAGCTATCTCTTCACTTCGAGTTCCAGGGTGCTGATGAAGTCACTTTTGCATTTATCACATACCAATGACTAGCCCAGCATCTATGATGTAGAAACCTAACACATTGTGGACCTTTGAGATAGACAGTGCCATGGTTGGACGGATGATGATGGAAAGATAACTTCTCCGGCAGCTTCACAGGAATATCTCCTTCTAGTGCCCCACCCTCCCTCAGTCAGCACAGTGTCTGATCCACAATGAGAACTCACTAAATGTTGGCTGGATGATGATCAGGGGAAGAAAAATCAAAATAAGAGAAAATCAAGATCACTGTCCACCTGGATCCATTCTCTTTTCGGGGCATTCTGTTGAAAGGAGTTATTGAGAAGAGAAGCAGGGAGTTGACAGCCATTCCCTGGACTCTCTCCCAGGGCCTTTTTAGAACAGGAAAGTTAATTATGGAACCAGATTAACAGTTTCTTTTTTGATACAGTCAAAGTAAAACCAGCAGGATGCAATTTAGCTCTTCTCCACTTTCCAAATAGCAGCAAATTTTCATACAAAACAAAGAGACACTTGAATTGCAAATTACTTAGAGAATCAGCTAGCAACCCCAACGGAAGACTATTTCTGCTACTTTCAAAACCAGGCTGTTGCCTTTTCAGGTTTAACTATGTCGTGGGACCTGCACAAAGGCCTGGGCGTCTTGCTGTTTCAACTCTGGGCCAAGTGGGCAGGACAAGTGATGCTTTAGGGTTTACTGGAGTGCTGCAAACTCTTTTTTTGTTCAGTACTTTCTTCTCTTCACCAGCTCATCTCTTCTCTCCTGTCACCAGCCTCCACTCATAGAATTAAGACTGAAGGGTCACTAAAGGTGATTTCACTCAAGGTGGTGAGAGCAGATGCCTATGAGGGTCGGGATATAAATGAATAAAGCGGTGGCAGGGGCAGGGAGGAAGAATCCTCCAGTAAGTAGATGAGGACTGGGGGGAAACTAGAACCCCATCTAACCATTGCTGTCATTCAGGACCACTGCCCCAGAGTTGGTTGTAGCTCACTAGTTCTGAGAAGTCTGTAATCTGGATTCTTATTTGAAATATCCTTCTTTTTTTCTATCAGGGTATAATAAATAGAAGAAAAAAATATCCATTGACTGGCTTGTGAGCACAAGTTTAAAACTACTGATCTAACTCACCTTCCTTTCTGAAGGATGGGGAAACTGAGGCAGAAAGGGGAAATCACTGAATGGATCCCAGGAGCACCATCTTCTGCCTTGTCATCCAGTGTGGCCTTTTATAGCATGTATACATGGACATATGTACTTTGCTAGAGTAATAAAGCTAATTAAAAAATAAAAATCTGGGCCTCCCTGGTGGCGCAGGCAATTGAGCGCCACACTGTGAAGCTGTCTACAGCCTCTGCAGTGCAGGTTTGATCCCGGCCGGCAGGCGAGAATCCCACATGGTGCAGCAGACCTCTCCTGTCTCTCCCACTGCTCCCCTCAGCAGTGTTTTTCAGTCAATCTCTCTGTTCTGTTCCCTGCTCTGTCTCTGGTGAATCCTCTCACCCTCCCACACATCTGGCCTGTACCCCGGTTCTTGGATAAATAAATAAATCTTTAAAAAATAATAATAAAATAAAATAAAAAGCTAACTGTACTTTGCTAGAATAATATACACTATCTCCCTTGGTAATGTCATGGAAGACAACTGCACTTGCTCCAAAGCAGAGATGTTTAAAGTCAGTGAGACAGCAGTGGGTCCATTTTACCATAATGAACACTGAACAGTTGCCCAGAGACTGAACAGGAAGGAGCTCTCTGAGCTTCCATTCTGTACCCAATAAGGTGAAAAGTGAGCCACTTGCCCTCCTGTGTTAGTGAGAATTTTGATTGCCCAAGACAAAAACCCTGCATGACTTGAGCAAAAAAGGGTATGTATTGGTTCACACAACTGGAAGGTTCAAGTATTTCAATCATGGCTGGATCCAGGTGCCTGGATAATAGCAGGCTGGCCCCTCTCGCTCATCCCCACAGTCTGTTTTGGTGTCAGAGGCCAGCAGCTCCAGCTGTGCATCTTTGCCATTCTTCCTGCAGTAGGAGATCTCATCTCTGTTTGTGAGTTTCAGGACTGACAGACTTTGGCCTGCATTAGTTCCTATACCCAGTCCTGAACCAGTGGCTGTGGCAGGGGAGGTGAGGCACTGCGTGGCCAAGCCAGGACACATTTCATGGAGCAATTAGGCATCGGTCTCTGCACCTCTGAGAATAGGCTGTGCATGCCAGAAGGTAGCATATACAGTGGTAGACCTGGTTCCCTGATAGGAATAAACAATGTTTATTCCTTTTGAGATGACTTGCTGAGAAAATGTCCAATCTGACCTATGGAGTTTGTTTAAAGCCGGAGCCATCCAGCTGGAGAGAAATGGGCAAATTGCTTGATTACCGCCTAATGCCAAAATGAGATTGCATATTTTGTGTTTATTTTCTCTCCTGTGTCTTGCAGCCTTGCTTCGATAGGAGAATTGGGACCGGTGACACTTTCTGCAATGAAAGGAGCAGAGTGAATAGTAAGTAGGTTTTCCAGTTTTCTTTGGTTATCAGATATGGGCACCTTTCTGATGCCAAAATGAGTTATATAAAATTACCGTTCTGTTCTCCAACCCATTGAAACAAGTATCCACTGGCTTTTGGGGGATATCAGATACCAAGTACATGACTTTACTTTTGTCTAACAGTATTACCCTTATACCATGTGCAAACTGTTTCTCCAATTTAGATGCATATATAAATATAAATAAATAAATATAAACATATATTCCCCATGGCAACATAGATTCAGATCATTTAAATGTGTTCCTGACTGCAAGCAATAGGAACCACAGGTTCATTGCTTTTAAGAAAAATGTTATTCATTCTCATAGCAGCCAGTCCCAAAGTAGAACAGGTCCATGGCTCATTGATGGAATAGCTCAAAAAAATATCACCAAGTTCTGGGTTCTGACATCATCAGTGGGCTGTCTCTTTTGTGTGCCTCTTTTCATCAGTCTTTCCAGAAATCCCCAACAGACTTTCACTCCCATGCATTAGCCAGACTTGTGTCACATACCCTGGTTTTAATCAATCCCTGGCAAAGCTAATAGGGTCTCTATGATTGGTTTGGATGTACCATTAGCTGTTCACGGACTTAGAAGTATGGCCCTGGTCCTCTAAAGCACGTTCACAAAGAGCAGCATGAGTAGCTGAACAAAATTAAAGTCTTGTTTAAAAGAATGGTTGTTGTAAAGGTAGCCAGCAGTTGCTGTTAGCAGGTGATACTAATCTCAGTGGTGTCTCCTCTAAGATGACAGCTGGGGCAGGTACCTAAGATCCAAAAAGTCATATACTCCATCTCTGCAGAATAAACAGGTACAGATACCTCACCTTGCCTACCCTCCCCCTAAGTCATGGACAAAATTAAAGAAATATTTAGGAATACTTATGAGCCTGGGTATAAAATCCAAAGCATTATCCTTTACCATAGGCAGATTGTTTCTCCAATTTGCATAATTAAAAGCTCCCCCTCAAAGAGTAAACATCACTGCCAACTAAAAAAAAAATAATAAACTACAAAGCGGTATTAAATATGCATCACTAATTTGACTTTTTAATTTGTCGGGATCTTGGTAGAGACTTGAATAACTCTGTAGATACTGAGTGCTTAGTAAAACCTTCCACTTGCCTGAAAAGCACTCAACAGGAAAAGAAAGCCAATTTTTACCTAAAGAATTTGAGTTCATGTTTGAAAATTACCAGTAGGAGCTCATGCGGTTGAAATGACTCTCAACTTCATTATTCTGAGCACTGACTGCCATCACTCACATGTAAGCAATTGCTTCATGCCTCCAGAGGTGATAACACTTCCTCAGAAATCTCCATTTGGTTCTAGAGTCACTGGGAGCTGTGTGTGTCTTCTATGTGAATATTGGTAGGGAGTGACTGAAGAGGGGCAAAATGACTTTCTGGCCCCCAAATCTCATTCTTGTTGATCTGCTTAAATATCTATACCAGCCCTCACTTGGATCTTGAGGGTCTCCGCTCTAGGAGAATGTGCTCCTTGGCTAAGGTGGACTCTGAAGCTATCCTGATAGATGGCAATTAAGTTCATCCGCTATCCTCAGGGAAGACAGACACAGAATACAATTGTGTGTATGCACAGAGAGGTCTCCCAGAGCTACAAATTGTATGTGTGTGTGTGTGTGTCTAGAAATGATGAGATACATATTATGTATAAACATACATATAGTGTTCCAGAAGTGAGTTCCTTTGATACAGGCTAGTCTATAACCTGTTTGTTTTTTTTTTTTTTTCAACTCAAGTGTTCATTCTGACTATTTCCATTGCTCTGTATGTGTGTATATGTGTGTGTGTACACATCACTGTTTTTTTTTTTAACCATTGATCAGTATGGCAAAACACTTTGAATCATTATTTACTAAATCTCTTATAAGGCTTTTCTCATTACTAATTTACATTTTATTTTAAAACATACCAAATGTTCACAAACCCAGAGACACTCTGCACATGTGTGGTTATCTGTGTAGTCAAGTTCTAGAAAGGAGAGTGCCAGGTCAGGGGGTCAGCAGCTGTGTTAAGGGGAGAGCCGAGAGTCTTGGCCCACTGCCCATCGGGTCGAGAGCACAGTCCCTCTGGGCTCTGGATATGCCTTTGAGGCTTTGGGCTTCTAGAGAAGGGACAGGGTAACTGACAAGAGAAAGAAAATGGGGACAATGTGCACCAAATGTGACCTTTGCTTTTGCCACATTTTTATCCTGTACTATCATGAAACAACCAGGGAATTATTGTTATTACAGCCATATGTTTCTTTTTGTGTTCATTTGAGGAATATCTGTCTCTCCTTTATCTGACTGTGAGCTGCCTGTGAAGAGACACATCTGGTGACACTTGCTGCTCAGTAATGTATCTTGAATGTCCAACATACTTATATTACTGTGTGAATGTATTTTGGGGGTGAAAGAGTGAATGAATTACGTAGAAGATTGTTGCATCGGGCAACACCACACTGATAAAGAAACGGGAGTCATGGAGCAGGCTATATATTGCAGGATGCTGCTGAAGAGCAGGATCCTGGCCTTTTTATTGATAGACTTATACAACATCAGTTGTGAGGGGAAGGAGGACAAAAAGAAAAGGGAGGGGTGAAACTAGAAAATGTGCTCTGTCATCTATAGTATCAGGGGTTGTGAGTCTGCCCTCCAGGCACTTCTCATCTGCTTGATGACTTGGTATTCAGTCTTATCAACAAGGCTCTCCACTGATCAGCTTCTGGGGTCCCTTTTTGTACATCAGTCCTCAGCCCTCCCCACCCCCCTTCCCTGGACATTCCCCGTCATACCATGTGATGCATAGCCTTCCCAGAGTGATCGATCTTTAAGCTCTTGGTTGATTTGAAAGGCACCTTGTAAGGTTTGGCTTCTGTGACTGACTGACTGGGCAGTTCTAACCTTGTTTAGGAAGGCAAAACTGCAGGTAACAAAATGATGGCTGAATGGGCCATTTAGGATTAGCAGACCCACAGAAGATATGTCATAGTGCAAAGGGATTTGAAAGGATGTCCTGAAGAAGGAAGCAGCTAGGGAATCTGTTCTCTTCCTAATCTTCTCATCCAGCCCTCCCTGTCACTTCTGTCTGATATATTTTTATCATACAGCAGTAGACATGGAGGGCCCTATGCCAGCTGCTACTCCACTATCTTAGGGCAAGAGTGGTTCTGCCTACGGAGCAGGTTTGCTGTCATGGACCATCCCTGTCAGGACCAGCCAGGAGTTTAATATAATTCACTCAACCCCTGACCCTAACTTCCACCTATTTTATAAAAGCAGCATTTGATTTCTTTTTACCTTCTCCCTTTCTAAACAAGATTAAATTCTGTGATATTATGAAAATCAAAGAAGGCCTGGTCTTGGGGATATGACTTCATATTCGAAGCCAATGTCTTCTGTAATGCTGTTGTTGATTTGATTTGTTTCAAAACACCTCAGAAAGATGAAATAGATTTTTCTTTCCATAATGATATTTACTTGCCTTTTCTATCTCCAAAAATGTGTCCTCTTGTTCAGGGTTTTGTCTAAATCTCTTGGATTCATGTCACCCTTCACAGGACAGCGAGCATAGTTTTCATTGTCCTGACTCACTGAATGTCTGTCTTCTGGTCTGTGCCTGCAAAAGAGCTAGCTGAACAGAGACCCTAGCATTCATCCACACTGACAATCCTGAGATCTTGGGCTTAGTGTAGAACTAACCCTAGATATCCTTCAACTCTCTTGAAGGAGGAGGCTAGGTTGCTATTTGGCTCTTCCAAGTAAAGTTTGGAAACCAAAAGCATTAATATAACCTAGTAGCTCCTTAGAAATGCAGCAACCCCAGGCCCCACTCCAGGCCTAATGAATCAGACTATATATTTAGGTGCTCAGTATGTGGCCAGGCACATTGTAGACCTAAAGGACAACCCCTTGGGATCTTTCTTCCTGATATTGTCAAGTTTCCAACATATCCCCTGCTCTAGTCAACATGATGAAGTGAATCTATAGTAGATATTAACTAAAAATGCATTACTTTAATAGATCACAGCATTCTTGTTTTAGGCATAGAAAATATTTCATATTGATTTATAGGACTTTTACTAAATATTACTCATGAGAGAAAATGAAGCTATAAGAGATTTTCACTCAATCATAGTTGACATATAAGTTGCATCTGAGCAATTGATAGCTTCTTGGAACTCTGTTAAGAAAGATTCTGAGGCTGCCTGTGGGTTCATCAGGAAAAAGCATTTTGTGCTTGGTCAGTGATGTCCACTATAGCTGTGGACACAACCATCTATCAGCCATATTATATGACATCCCAACGCTTAATAAACCTCTATGTATTGTAATTGTGAAGTGAGAGGAACACTGAGTTATCTGCTGCTGAATCACAAATCACTCCAAAATTTAGAGGCTTAAGAGAATTGTATTTATCATCTCAATCTCCATGAGTCAAGAATCTTTGAGCAGATTTACTTGGTCCTTGGTTCTCTGTCACTGGGTTTCCAACAAGGATACAAAGCATCAGTCAAGATGGGAATATGTCTCAAAGGCTGGCCTGGGGATGATCCACTTCCAAGCTCACTGGTATGAGTAGCACCGAGATCCTCCTGGGTGTTGCTCTGATGTACTCAGTTCCTCCCTGGCCATTGTTCAGAGACTGCTCTTAGCTCCTTGCCAAATCGGCTTCACCAATAGGACAGGTATGCAATAAGAGAAAATGATAGAGGGAAATCACAGCCCTTTGTGACCTAGTTATAGAAGTGTTATCTCATCACCAGTGTAAGTCACCCAATATACTCAAGAGTGGAAATGCACAAGGGTGGAAATGCTAAAATGTGGGAATCACTGGCACTATTGTACAAGCAGTCTGCCATCCTGCTTCATCCTGTTTCATCTTCACTGTGACCTCTAAAGATACATATTGTTTTGATTCCACTTTTACCACTAAGGTAAGCAGACATAGAATTGTTCATTTAAAATTC